ATATATATACTGTATATATATATACTGTATATATATATACTGTATATATATATACTGTATATATATATACTGTATATATATATACTGTATATATATAAGTGAAATATCACTAACGAGAGCAGTGCTTATCCTGTTCACAGTTGGCGTCTGTATAATGGCGAAAAGATTAGGTAAGAGAAAAATTGATTCAGATTGCAGGACATTTAAGCTGCAGTGGACAAACGACTATTTTTTGTTCATCTGTCAAAAGGGGGTGGCGGTATTCAAAGAATACAATCTGTGGTGACACTATGAATCCCATCACAAAGACAAGTATGATAGCTTGCAAGGCCAAATGTAAGCAAACAAACTCTCAAAGCTAAAAAGTGGACTGTTAGCTCAGCAGAATACATACTGTGAAAAACCCAGAGAGGGTTATTTGATTGTGCTTTCTGGAAAACAATAAATTCTTACATTTAGGCACTCCTGCAATAGTCACACTTTTTCTGTTACAAACTGACTCCGGCCCCCCACCAGAGAAGGGAAAAGTTATGTGGCCCTTACAGGGAAAAGTTTGGGGATCCCTGCAATAGATGATACAGACGTAAAATATATTGTTTATAAGTAGTGATGATCAAACCCAGACCTGATGTCAGTCAGTAACTAAAGACTTTTAAGCTAGTTGAAAAATTATGACTTCAACTAGTAATAACATATTTATTATTTACCAGTTATGTAGCCATGCAGGTTTTTGTAATGAAAACCTAGAAATAGTCAAATATATAATATTATTTTACACTGTGTAAGTAGTACGTAAATCAGAGGGAAAACCACCTTGTATTATTTAATAATTTGTGCTAAATTGTAGCATTATTCAGCACAGTGCTACATTCTGTATAACAATATAATGCTACTGCTGTATATGTGGAGCCATTTTGTTATAGATTAGCTGCAGTTGCCCAAACCAAATCAAAATTAAACCAAATCAAGGCTCAGTTATAATTGCGCTTTAGTACTCGCGAAGGGCGAGCACGCACCCTCACCAGCATTGAAGGTTTTTTACTTGTCTCCAAAAGGACACATGGAAGTAAACTTTACAACTTGTGAAAATGTAAATAGGAGAGCAAAGGCGTGACGAACAAACAAGCTGGTTGAATGGTRCGTGCAGCCTTTGCAGAGTTCATCTAGATTTACAGCTGACACATCGTGCCTGGCACAAGGGGGCGTGCGCCAAAAGTCACGCAATCGTGCCGTCCCCTCCCCTGCACGTTGGCCTCACCCGGTGTCCATGCGTATGGGTGTGCACCCCTGAAATTTTGTAACACTGCAAAAGCTGTGGGCACCGCACACCATTCAAACAGTTTGTTTATTCATCTCACCTTTGCTCTCCTATTTACAACATTTTCACAAGTTGTAAAGTTTACTTCCTCGTGTCATTTTGTTGAAATCTACAACAGCGTAAGGCAGCGACAAGTATAAATACCTCCAACGCTGGCGAGGGTGAGTGCTCGCCCTGTGTGTACCAATGGATGACTATAACCGAGCCTTTACAAAATTTYGGAGGTAGACAACCATGCGCAGGGACACCATGCGGGGCCAATGCGCAGGGGTTGAGACGATTGCGTCACTTTTGGCGCACACCCCCTCGAGTTCAGTGTGATGTGTCAACTATAAACCTAGCTTCAGTTCTCCCCCACTGTCCTGACAGTTGGTGCTGTGCATTCTGGATCATGTCTTTTGGTCTCGGGTCCAAGGATTATTGGGCATCATGCAAGAACATGTTCGTATTCTTATCCTAAATTTCTCTTACTTTTGTTCGTACAAAGGGTTCGTACTAACGTCACGTCAGATTCAACAAACTCTTCTATCTTCAGGAAAAAGGTGTAAATGAGCTGCGTAATTTACACCTGTTCTATCCAGCTGCTCGTGCACGCGAGAGGAGATTAGCATAATTACCACCCCAAAAACACCATATAAGGCTATGTTTCCTGCCTCAGATACAAGGAAGTGTTCATTCATTCATGAAAATGACAGCGAAAACTGAAAAAATAAAATGCGTTCAGAGATTGAAGTC